CAGGTGATGAAAACTATTTTTGTGGATTACAAGACGCCATCGATGAGTGAATGTGATCTGCTGGGTGCCGAAATTGGCTTACACAAACGGGTTGTTCAGGTCTGGTTTCAAAACGCTCGAGCAAAGGAACGAAAATCACGGGCTTACACTGGTCAGTTTATTTTTCAGTAGTAATTATCTCACCATCCACCTCTTTCACTCCATTATCTGAAGACAGCAATGTGCGGACTCATAAATATTGGTCACTGACGAAAGCTGAAGAGCAACCTTCGGACAAAGCTATTAGCATTAATAGTGCTTGAAAAAATTTCATCCATTCCTCAGTTGAGTGCCACGGATCTATTCTTACAAATAGAATGGAAGAGCATCGCTTGCTGCTTGCCCAAAATTGATGAATATCGTGTATTAGTGAGTGATATCGTCAACAAAAATAGCTACTCAAGTGACCTGTGAAGAATTGGCACATGAATAGGCGGCGTTGACAGGAGGAAGTGTGTAGCACTGGATTGAAGCGTTTGGAAAAATTGCGCGCCCGGTGTATGGGCGCGTTCCAGAACGGCACTAAAATCAGATTCTCAATCGCAGAATTTTTGTGCAAAGCTGATTATCGCATGATTGTAGCATGAAAATAATATGAAGAACTTAAAAAAGAAGGCAAGAATAGAACGAACTATGTAATGCAAGATGTAGAATTATTGCTGGTACAGGAAAAATAAGTACGAGAGAGTTAAAACGTTTCGATCCATGAAGTTGAAATCAAGAATTATGATGTTTTGGTCAAACAGCTGTTCGTTTCGTTGTAGGTGATGAAGAATTGCTCCGTTGCGCATCAACACGTTGTGCAATATGTTGCATCGATTATGATCACCGTGTAACGTTGCACGACCATATCTTCACTGAAACCCACATAAATCGGGTTAAAAAGCTTTTTGATAGTGAAGGCATGCAAGCGGATGCTTTGCGCGAAATAGCTGCGCCTACTACCGAGTGCACCGAGAAAGAGGAGAGCCAGCGTTTGAGGTACCTGTTTTCCTGATTCTCAAACTCCATGGTTTTCTATTTTTGCAACCAGCACTTCCTTGCGATAGCCCAAATTCGTTGAAAAATTTAACCCTGTTTTATTAGAATTTTGCACGTTTTGCTACAAAAGTTGCACAAAATGCATATTGTCGAGACCCAGTCTTGTATCTCTCTGTCTGTGTTACGAGTGTATTTTTTTACTGCTACCATAGATATGAGATTTGCTTGGTACTGAAAAAGACCAAGCTGTCCCGGGCAGAAGCTGGGCATCTGACTTTAGCGATATTCTGTAAAGCATTCATCTAAAAGCACAGCAACGCCAGACTATATAAGTTTCACCTACCGCGTATTCGTGCGCCACCTCGAAGGCTTTCTAAACAATCGTTTACTTTCTCGCAAGTACCACTTACTTGCACGCGGCACCCACCAGCCGTAACTTACGTTACTGCTGATTTTCTTGCTCATGTTGTCATCGCGAGCTTTGGGCACTGCTTAGTATGGCGGAGAATCTGATTGCTTGTAAAGCCACAAAAAAAGGCTTAAAGTATGACATAATTCCATCTTTTTCTCAGTTACATTCCGCATTTCTGCTTTTATTTAATGGTATTTCGATGCGACGTTTTAGGGAAATTAGGTGGTGCCGAATTTATATCTGTTATTAGCCTTTTCACGTGTAGTTTCCGACTGGGTCTTATGGCGCATATTCGCTCCTCTTTTTTGGAGCACTTTTCGGAATGAGCTTTTTCCGGGACATTTAGACGTACACGAGGGCTGAATTTGAAATCTTTAGGCCGTACAAGGGCAAAAAATACTTTCACGACAATTCATTTTTCTAGTTTATACAGTTTCTGATAGGTTTGATGCCTGAGTATATAAAGCTTCAGTAATCCTGTGCAAAAAAAAAAAATTTCTATTAGTTTTTCTAGGATGAAGGCAGTGCGCGATCGCCGGACGCTGAAGCCATCCAGTTTACCACTGCCAAATACCGGGAGCAGTACGGTGCCACAGTTCCCTTATAATTTCCTATATGGCCTTCAACCAGGTCAGTTTTAGATTTAGCATTACC